TTTGAAACAAAAGAGTTTTTCCAGGGATATACCCATTTACAACTGCATTTTGAGACCTGAATATTGAAAAATGCTTTTTCTTTCATAGGTTCGTGACGTGTATGCCATCAGGTAGTCTCAGTGACGTCCAACTGTTAGACCAGATCAAAGAAGATGTATTTTGCAGATCTATCCAGTATATTTAGTTTTGGATACCTTTCTATAGATTTCATGCATTTTTCTAAATTTTTAATGTTTTCTTTAATAGATTATACTTCGTATGCTTTTTTCATTAAAGTTTGTGTGTTACTCAAAACAGTGTCGTTTTTTACGTTACTTCTTATTTATTGTAGTTCCCTTTCGAAGCTTTGTCCTTTCTCTTCTTTACATAAAACGTTGTTTGTATCATTTGAGGAGTAAATTTATTTGCATTTCTTTAACTTTTGTAATTCCTTTATTATGCATTTAATGGCAATGTTCTTATCCACACAATTCAATCTTAGCCTTAATTATGTCAGTGTAATGTTGCACGAAACTGGTTAGCCATCCTGACGAATCCATACTTGATATATCCTTGCAGCAAAGGGTTGCATCTCCGGGAGCCAAAATCACACTCACCTGATGTTTTCCAAAAGATGTTTCTTCTAACGTAAGACGACGTATTTCGCAGATCTATCCAGTATATTTAGTTATGTTTTGGATACCTTTCTATAGATTTCATGCATTTTTCTAAAAAAAATAATGTTTTCTTTCATAGATTATTCTTCGTATGCTTTTGTCAGTATAGTTTGTGTGTTCCCTTTCGAAGCTTTGTCCTTTCTCTTCTTTACATAAAACGTTGTTTGTATCTTTTGACGAATAAATTTATTTGCATTTCTTTAACGTTTGTAATTCCTTTTTATGCATTTAATGGCGATGTTCTTATCCACACAATTTCAATCTTAGCCTTAATCATGTCAGTGTAATGTTGCTCGAAACTGGTTAACTATCCTGACGAATCCATACTTGATAGATCCTTGCAGCAAAGGATTGCATCTCCGGGAGCCCAAATCACACTCAACTGATGTTTTCCCAATTTCATACATCCTTGCAGCAAAGGCTTGCACCTCCGGGAGCCCAAATCACACTCAGCTGATGTTTTCCCAATTTCATACATCCTTGCAGCAAAGGCTTGCAACTCCGGGAGCCCAAATCACACTCAGCTGATGTTTTCCCAATTTCATACATCCTTGCAGCAAAGGCTTGCACCTCCGGGAGCCCAAATCACACTCAGTTGATGTTTTCCCAATTTCATACATCCTTGCAGCAAAGGCTTGCAACTCCGGGAGCCCAAATCACACTCAGCTGATGTTTTCCCAATTTCATACATCCTTGCAGCAAAGGCTTGCAACTCCGGGAGCCCAAATCACACTCAGATGATGTTTTCCCAATTTCATACATCCTTGCAGCAAAGGCTTGCACCTCCGGGAGCCCAAATCACACTCAGCTGATGTTTTCCCAATTTCATACATCCTTGCAGCAAAGGCTTGCAACCCGGGAGCCCAAATCACACTCAGCTGATGTTTTCCCAATTTCATACATCCTTGCAGCAAAGGCTTGCACCTCCGGGAGCCCAAATCACACTCAGTTGATGTTTTCCCAATTTCATACATCCTTGCAGCAAAGGCTTGCACCTCCGAGCCCAAATCACACTCAGATGATGTTTTCCCAATTTCATACATCCTTGCAGCAAAGGCTTGCACCTCCGGGAGCCCAAATCACACTCAGCTGATGTTTTCCCAATTTCATACATCCTTGCAGCAAAGGCTTGCAACTCCGGGAGCCCAAATCACACTCAGCTGATGTTTTCCCAATTTCACACATCCTTGCAGCAAAGGCTTGCACCTCCGGGAGCCCAAATCACACTCAGTTGATGTTTTCCCAATTTCATACATCCTTGCAGCAAAGGCTTGCACCTCCGGGAGCCCAAATCACACTCAGTTGATGTTTTCCCAATTTCATACATCCTTGCAGCAAAGGCTTGCACCTCCGGGAGCCCAAATCACACTCAGCTGATGTTTTCCCAATTTCATACATCCTTGCAGCAAAGGCTTGCAACTCCGGGAGCCCAAATCACACTCAGCTGATGTTTTCCCAAAGATGTTTCTTCAAACGTTACGTTAGGAAACCTAAATCAGGCATCAACATGGAAAAATAATATGAAACTAAATTGATCAAGTAAAGTTTCAAAGTGGTGCATTAGGGAAAATTCATTTCATTTATACATGATTAATGGCACTATTTGAAATTACATTATTGTACATTTACGATAAATATCAATGGGCGTCAGTGTCCGTCATATTGCCAAGTGACATTTTAAAAATGCAATATATGGAAACGAATAAGGGAACACATGCACAACGAAAAAGTGCACATGTTCCTTTATATATTTCCAGGATTTGCCCCACTGTGCAGTACATATCTTGTGAAGAAACCTGGAAAAGAAGAAAGGTACACAGGTATTTTCATGTGTTCCCTTATAATTCGTTTCCATGAGTATATATATGACAACTTGATTTACACGATGACTACAGTTATTAAAAAATGTTTAAAGTGTATATCTAACATTTTAGTGGGTGTGAAACTTAAAAAATGGATAATCGTATTTAATATTATTATTTACAAAACAAAGGCACTAGACAGAGGCACCCTTTTGCTGACTTCTATTTCGATGGCAGCAAAATTGTAAGATTACAGATGTGAATCTACAGTTTATTGTGAACGTTTGTCTCTAGATGATTTCACCCCACCGCGAGATATACAATTTCTGACCTGAAAATAGGCGGACAATTTCTTGCGAAGCGGACATACAAAGTCCTCACATCAATTCTATAGGTACATGTATTTGCCGGTGGGGCGGAAAGAAATCAGTAACCCAAATGTCACTATTGAGTGACCCTGTCCTAGAATAGATTCATTCACGAATGACCTGCTCCTGGAACTGATACACTCCAGAGTGTACAGAAACTATTAGAAAATATCCAAACTATGCACCTTTTTTGTTTGTTGAATAATATAACTAAACTCCAGGGAAATGCCACAAAATTGCCAGGGGTATTACAACTGCATTGCGTGTGAGTGATAGGGGTGTTTGTGATATTCACGTGTTGACGAATTATATTTTCTTCGTTTGAAGTGCATTGTTTTTTAATTTTAATTTTAAAAGACAACTCGGATAACTAGTACTGTTGCAATCCCGAGGAGGAAAATGTTTTCAAGTTTTATTGATTAATGTATTTTCGGCAAATCCATATTCGCATTATATGTATTTAATTAATATACATTAGATAAACTTTCTTTAGAAATAGATGACATGTAATTCACTTATATGGCTGCAATATTGCCGACGCCACGTAAAGCCTTTGAACTCACAAAATCACTCATAGACTAACTCTGGAATTGTATGATTATAATTTACACAAGGAACTTTATTTAAACGTCAAAAAAAACCATGAGAGATGGGGGATTTCAGACTACAAACATCTGCATTGGGCTTCTCGTGTTAAGGGTCATTATCAGAAACAACAACAAAACAAACAGACACACACACATTACACAACAATCAAATAAAGGTTCAAATGACAGGCAAATATATTGTCCCTCCTGCCAGACAAAATGTCCATGTAGAGAACAAACATCGGGCTATATACTAGTATGGTCACCCTGTGCAGCACAACCAAAGTACGGAACTATCATGGAACTGAATATCTCACACATACATTGGTAGGGATTATTCCTGACTAAACAATTAACAAAATTAACCTGAGTTTGATCCCCGTTTCGATAATCGTTTGTGGCTTCTGAAAAACTATCTGTCGATAAGAATAAAATGTCAAGAAATCTATACGCGTTTACAATGTCCACCTCTGTATGGTTTGTTCCTGTTCCTACGCCAGCTACGTCCCTTATCGTAGTGTTTGCTGAAAGGGGCAGTGGGCGTTAAGTAACAATGGTGCACCGACTAGTCAGTCTCGGGAGATTGCAAAATTTTGTGTTTTGTCAACATCTACCCGACGATTTATTCACCATAAGTGAACTGAGTCAGCAGGAGCGAAAATAACCTATATGGGTGCTTTTTCTTAACAGTGCTCATTGTTTAAGAAAGTTTAAATGTACTTTTTCCAATAATGATGTAGTTGGAATATTGCTGAGTGCAGCGTAGAACTAAACTCACTCACTCACTTCAGGTTTAAGCTCCACACCTTTACAGAAATCTTTACCAAAAGACATTTCAATATCATTCATAAAAATAGCAAATAAAGTGGGTGATGAATTCTCTCCTTGGCGTACGCCAGATCGACAGGGAAAGAAGTCTGTAAAACCATCTTTACTTAATATGCAAGGATTTTATATTTCTATACATGTTATGTATAACGCGGAAACATTTACCAGAAATGTTATTTGCCTGAAACATTTGACACGCGTTTGCCACGCGCCAAAAGTCCTACGCGCCAAATCCACAAATGCACAGTATAGTTTCTTATTTCTGATTTTAGAAGTTCTGACAGAGTAAACAATGTGAAGATGTGATCGACAGTGTAGAATAACCTTTTCTAAAGCCGGCCTGAGCCTCTGATAAAATATCATTATTTTCTAAATATAAATTCAGTCGATTACTTAATAAAGAAGTTAAAAGTATGCCAAAGCAGCTAAATAGAATAATTGGGCGGTAATTTTCTGGATTTCGTGGATTTCTTTTCCTTTTATATATTGGTTTAATAATACCTGTTAACCAGCTTTTAGGGAATATGCCACGATCAAATACAATATTAAAAAAATTAACACGGACCGTGGCTCATATACTTCAAATACTGTTTTTTACGCTTCTATTTACAGGCCCCCCGTCATACAGGTGGAATATTGTTGTGGTGTTAAACACCAAACACAGAATAACTTTTTACCTTAAGTTTGTTAAAAAAAACCCAGCTATTTATTGATTCTAACAGAAGCGTTTTCTTTCATTTCTTCCGAAATGCCCTGGTCACCATGTTTTTGTTTCTCTGTTTCTTCCTATGGAAAGGAAAAAAGACGAAAAAAAACCCAACAAGAACACACACACACGTACGCACGCACGCACGCACGCACGCACGCGCACGCACGCACGCACGCACGCACACACACAGAGAACCAAAATAGTTACCGTACCGATCAAAGCCTAGCCGAGCACGGTTAATCCAGTTGAATCATTCACGGAATCGCTTTCAAATAAACCGCGAATTTTCATTTCACAACTTTAATCGTTCTGATTCTTATGTCGTTTCTTTTACTAAATGTATAGTGGACCAAGAACGCAAACCGAGACATGCAACAGATGACCGTGCCCTAGCGTGCCCAAGACGTGTACACAGAGGTACCGATGTAGAGAATGGCGGTACTGGAATAATGATTGTATCAAGTAAGTTCCAATTACAACACTTGACATAATCGTTACTATGCTGAAAAAGATACTGCTTCCTTTTTTGGCCAAGTCATTGCCAAAATGTGTCAAATATACGAGCGCCTACATGATCAGTCTTTGTAAAGGTCTTCACCAAAATCAGCTTAGTTGTATATTACCTATTTCACCATAAAGAACATTATCCGATACAACAAATTCGGATTAAACGAATAATGTTATTAACGAATCTTGTAACCCCAAAGTCATTTTCACTTTAAAAAAGAGATTTGATGACATAAAGTACTTTTTGAGGACTATAGTCCTGACTGGTTGCGCTTAAAGGAAACAAATGCCCTTTCTCACCTGCATTTGAGACTTGGAATATTAAGAAGCGCATTTTCGTTCCAAGGTACGTGAAGTGTCCTCCACCCAAGCACATCAAAGACGTTAAACGCCCATATGAGTAGAACAGATCGAAGAAGATGTATTCTGCAAATCCATCCAGTGTACTGTGTTAGGTTTTGGATACATTTGTAAAAAGGTTCATACAATTATGAATAATTGTTTTTGGAAACTTATTCGTCGTACAGTATACTTTGTTAATGTGTGTTACCTTATGTTCATTGTGGATCCCTTTTTTTAGTAGCGTCCTGACTCGCTTTTGTATATAACATCGTTGATTGTATCTTTTGAGGAATAAATATATTTGAATTTCTGTTGTAATTACAATTAAATTACCCAATGATACACCATGATCTATTCTTATTCACACACGTTCTATCTTAGCCTTAATGATGTCGGTTTAATGTTGGACAAAACTGGTTCAATTGGGTTTAAATCAGGACAAAGGGCTGGCCACTGCATAATGTTGACACCATTCTGTAGTAGGAAGTCCCGTGTAGCTCTGGCAGTATGGGCCTGGGCGTTATCGTGCTGGAAAATGTTGTTCCGGTGAAGTGCGAAATGTGGTATGACGTGGGGTCTGAGAGCTTGGTCGATTTAGCGCACGGCTGTGATGCCGCTATTCTCCCTGGACCAAGGTTCTCCAACATCACAGGACCCACTCTCTGGTTCAGGCCTATTCCACCCCATACCATGATGCTTACACCTGCCTATGAGCCTCTTTCCATAACACATTTGTCTGAGTAACGCTGGCCAGGTCGTCGCCATATTCTTGTTCTGTCATCTGCAGTTGATACTGCAGCCTGTAGATGGTCAGAACGTTGACCTGGAAGCGATTGGCAACGGCTTGTGCAGTGTGACCAGCTTCAAGTCTTCCTAGCGCCTGGTTCCTCTCAGCTGTCGTGAATCTCGGCATCCTGCTGACGTTGTAATGTGAATGTTTCAACCAGATTTGGGGGTGCATCTTATAGGGCCGGTCCTTGTGAACAGCACGTGCAGCATGAGTTGCATGAAAAACATGGAGAACACCATACCATCTCCGAGGACAGGTTGCGTTTTTGAGACCATTTCCTTGGTTCAATTCTGAGTTTGGGAAGGAATGTCTTTGCTCAGGTAAAGTTGGAGATGTTGTCAAAAATATACAATCAAAACAGTAAATGGGTTTACAGTTATCCATTTCTGCGAATAAAAATTCCAAACAGACGTTTCTTTTGCTGCTTAGTATATTTACGAAACAAAAACACTAGGCATATACACACTTTTGCTGACTTCTATTTCGATGCCAGCAAAATTCAGATGTACGATTACAGAAGTGAATCTGTAGTTTATTGTAAACGCTTGTCTCAAGGTGATTTTAACAGCGAGAGATACAGTTCCGCGTTAAAATCTGACCTGAAAATATGCGAACAATTTCTTGCGAAGCGGCCATACAGGGTCTCACATCAACTCCACAGGTACTTGCCAGTGTGGCGGAAAGAAATCAGTAACCCAAATGTCACTATTGAGTGTCCCTGTCCTAGAACAGAATCCCTCATGAATGACCTGCTCCTGGAACTAATTCCCCATGTGGGCAGTCGAACAGCGGGCTTTAGCTTTATTAGCAAAGGCTTTTACACACAGGTATCATAACCGACCTTCCTTGGTGAAACACGAGCAGTGGAATCCAACAGTACGATATACAAATCATCATTGACTACCACCAACACACCTCAAAAGCTGAATCATTCGCACAGGCAAAGCCGACAGTTTTGTAGTTTTCCCACTGAACGTTGAAGTGAATCGCATTTGTGGATTCACAGTACATTCCTTTTCAGAACATCCAGTATTTTTGTAATGAAACAGGACAATCTGTCAAACATTAACTGGTACAGACATTTCAAAACAAATCCAAAGACCACATCTATAGGGTTACTTTCGCTCTGCTGATCCAGTTCATCTGGAGTGAATAGAAAGCCTGGTGGATGTTGACAAAATACACGATTTTGCAATCTCGCGAGACACAGGCGGATTCAGAAAGTGGGAGTGGGGTGGGTGGGGGTTGTTAGGGAGTGCAGGGGTTCCCCACCTTCCACGCCCCACCCTTCCAATCACACACCTTTCGTCCTAAAAGATTATTAAATTAATAAATGACCAAAGAAACTCTCCTGAAAACGGGTGAAAATGAACTGTGCAACCCTCCTCCTCCCCCCCCCCCCCCGACACACACACATCACACACACACACACACGCTCCTCATTCTGAAAAAGCTGTATCCGCCCTCGCTGACTAGTCGGTGCACCATTGTTACTAAACGTCCACAGAGCCTTTCAGTAAACACTACGGCAAGGGACGTAACTGGTGTAGGCTGTACAACGTTCATCTACTCATGTCGACAGCTTTCAGCGCAATACTCCATCAATGCGGTAGTTTCCATGACGCGAGAATTCATGCTCATGATTGGATAGCAAGCAACCAACCAGAGCGTTAGCAGTGGATAGACGCCTCGGGTGTTTGGGTAAATATCATTGTGGTTGAGGTTTTATGAATTTGTGACGATATATGTATGTGTAAATCCTTTATGTATCATATGTATAAATCAATCCTTTGTTTGAATAATGTTTTGGGCTTTAAAATGAATACACGATCCCAGTTTTGAAATACATCCTTGGTAATATCAGGACATGTGAATGTGAACTTACTTGCTAAAGCAGGTTTAATACATTAACCATACATGAAGCATGTCCTTAACACTCCTATATACTTCTAAGAGATGTTTGCAAAATGATGAGCAGATTCTACTGTACCACCAGCATACGTCACAAACACATGCTAGGGTAAATTTGTTCATCTGATAACCACGTGAATATATCGTACAATCAAATTGGGAAATGCAGAGGACATCTGCAGCAGACACAAAATCATCTATATCCTGTAAATGTGAACTGAACTCATTGTTACTTAATTCATTTGTTAAACGGTTCGTTCTCTTGTAACATACTAGTATGTGAAATGGAGCGAAATATTTCATTAGTGAATTTCTATAACTGATACTTTTAGTGTTTGAAACATATTACAAATAAGGATTTTATCAAATACTTTTTCACAAGTCAGCCAATTAACACAGACCAATGAGTTCTCATTATAAAGATAACTGAACACGATTTAATATATTTTTGCCCAAATGCACAATCATGGAATTCTATTGAAACTGAGAATGCAGAGAATAATCGTCACACGAAAACTCAATGGCCCCAAGGTTGATTTTATCTTGAATATGACTGTTAGGAAGGTAAACACATCGATAACAAGGTGATTCATTTTTGTTGCTTCAGTATCTATCATTATCACCAGTATTGCCAATAACCCAAACCACCAAAGAATAAAAAAAAATACATGACTGTTTATCATATTTAGTTATTCGATACCAGTCCTTGCTCCTCATACTTTCGTAGTATCTCCTCATACTTTCGAAGCATAAGAATCCAGGTAGTCTGACAAAAAAAGTGCACAACTGATGAAAACCACATTGTCAGCTGAAAGAAGGTACCATAGAATGTGCCTTTTACGTAGACACTCTAAGTTCCCCAGAAATCATAGCTTTGTCACGAATGGGACATTGTCTGACGCCATTTCATCATCCTGCATTAAGCTTTAATAAACAGTATCATTAATTATAAGCTGTTAAACCTCTAGATGTTTTAAGGGGCGTTGGGGTAGCCTAGTGGTTAAAGCGTTGGCTCGTCACGCCGAAGACCCGGGTTCGAATCCCCACATGGGTACAATGTGTGAAGCCCATTTCTGGTGTCCCCCCGCCGTGATGTTGCTGGAATATTGCTAAAAGCGGCGTTAAACCAAACTCAGTCAGGCAGTCTAGATGTTTTAAAGGTATACTAGAGACCGACAGAGTATAATGTTAATTTTATCAAGTTATTCTGCAATTGGTCAACTTATCTAAAACAGTGAAACGAATATCTCTGGACTTATTAACCAAACTCAATTTGCTTGAAATAAACTAGCTGAAATATATACTGGTATATACACATCCTTGCTTCAAGGTGTGTTAATGTCAATAGCAAACAAAACCTTAACATTCACTATCTTGAATAATTTATCAATATTTGTACTGTGAAATTCTCGGAGCCCGGGGTCAACCGAAGTGTGTAGTGACTGCTCTACACCATTGTAGTGTAGTGCGTACAAAGCTCACAGTAATGGGACTCGCTTCATCGGGCAAGCAAACAAGCGGAGAGAAACCCCGCGAGACATAGAGCTTACGGAGTCCTCACAAACGCCCACTAGTGATGTCAAGAGCTACGGCTAATTGGAGATCATTGTCAGCAACCAACCAATCAGAAGACGGCCTATACCGGATGGTCCGTTTAATGGATCTGATTGGCTAAGATGTCTTAAGTTGTTTTCTTACAATGCTATCGTGATGAAGATAACAAAAACAGATGGAAATAAGGACCGGTGACCAACTTCCCTTTTCAAGAGTATATAATTTGGGAGATATTTCTGACACTCAACACTTCCTAGGAGCACTGCCTTCCGAACACAGCTCTACAGTCTGGGATTGGCCGTGGATGTAAGTATGGCAGGAAGAAAACTGTCTTGGGTCCTTGTTGGATCCCTGATTTTATTTGCTCTCTCTCTTGTCAATTCTGAGAGCGTGGCCGCAGGTGTAGACGGGAGGCAGGACAAAGAAGGGGTTGCTAACCTTCCACAAAATGACGTAAAAATTGATGAAGACGTACCATCTGATGGTTCCAACAATGCTGCAAACTTTGTAGACGATTCAGAAGAAGTCGTTAATGATGATGTCGAGGAAGTAGAGATAAAGGAAATTCCTGGAGACTCGAGCTCGGAAGAATCTGACGGAGAGACCCTTGACGGAAGGAAAAGGCGAGCAGCAGTCAATACTATAAATGTCAGCCCAGAGGCCAAGTCAGTTGTTGGAAAGACATTCAACTTTAAGAATCTGACAAAACTGACAAACAACGTTCAACTAACTTTTGCTGGTAAATCCGTGAATTTGGCAGCATTCAAGATTAACAGCGTTGACTCGGTAAGTTTACTTTTGAACAAATTATGATAGAAACTTTGATTGATGCTGTTATACATTATTGCAGCACTCATACAGACTTAACGAACAAATTTCTGACAACACTCTAGCAACTCCATGCTTTGGTCAGTTTAGATATTTCTCTGTAAGATTCTCTGAGCTTCAAATGAATAATTTAAATTACTCCAAAAAATAGTAATATTTTTTGCCTGGTCATGAGGTCATGACGTCGAATTATTCAGGTACGAATTTGCGTTTCTGTACAGAAATATATGCCTGATTGTAATGGTTCTTTTGTGTCTTCTTCAGAAAAAGCTTGACACGTTTCTTAGGGGTGAGCGATTGTCCGACAGGTTGTACGTTGTGTCGAAACTTGCTGGAATTGAACAGAAACTAGCTGCAAGGCAAAAGAAGAGACTGGTAAGGAATACATCAAATCTCAGTGGAACCTCGTTAATTCGGACGTCACTGTTATAGCGAAATATTCTTATAAGGGAATTCCTAATAGGAAGCTGAGCGCAGGTTAACGAGGCTTCACTTCATTAGAACAATCCACACTGTGAGTTATATATAAGCCTGCAATTTTCATGAACTGTGAAATAGAAGCAACAATCTCTTTCCACTTTTATAAAAACATATGTCGAAAAGCAGTCGATAATGGGATTCTGACTATGTTTTAATATTGTGTTTATGAACGACAATCCAACAGTGATGATGCCAGGTGTATGCCAGCAAATAGGTTAGCATATCCTGGTGTATCTGAGTCATAATAGATACATGCTACTGAGCTTGCAATGCAAATCTGGCTCTTTAGTCCACCAGCAGAAACCTCGACCCAGTTTAAGTCAATGCAATGCAGGAGTCTTCAGACAGAATCAGTTTAGCGTAAAAGGCTAAACAGCTTAGATATGAGTGGTCACTGAAAAGCAGCGTTACCAGGTTGTCATCAGGGTACGAATATCCTGCCCAACCACACGCACCAATGATTTAATAAATTGCATGAAAAGTAAAGTTTATATCCTGACCCTCCACATCAGTACTCATACCATGCGACGGTGTCATGTAAACATTTATTATGATACTGTATAGATTTTAATATATTGCCTATCCGAAAATTGCTTTCTCTTCATATTAGATGGTATCACCTTATCTTGAGAATGTTCCACTTAAATGAGAATTTTCATATGGTAAAATAACTCTATCGAAAATTGGATTTCAGACAACGCTTGCGATTGAAGATCTTGATAACCTTGATGATGACATTGTCCTTGACCCCGAAGATGTTGATGACCTTGAAAAGGAAATCGAAGAGTTCCCTTCGCTACTTGATCTCAATGGGCCGACGCCAGTCGTGAAAACCTTGTCTAGTGCAACAATCAAAGACAGGGTTAAACGGAAGGTTAAGGCAAAATCATCATCAAAATGGCTGACAACTGTGCGATACAAAATAACATCAGATTTTGACTCAGGTAAGTAAGGGAGTATGGTTATTAAACGTGGGAAATCGACAGCCTTTCCAATTTCGAACAAAACTCCGTCGATGAAATGAAAGCATGCAATTTGTATCCAAAGTCAAAATAAAATGAAAACAGAAAAATGAAAGAAAAGCCAATCTTAAGCTTCTGATCATGTTTTAAGCAAGTATTCATATCATCACTCTGAAAAGGTTTTATACTATTCGCGAAAAGAAAAAAGTATATCTTGTCCCACGCACAGACACAGACAAGCACGTCAATTGGAAAAAAACATACGACACTAGTGAAAACATTTTTGTCACTTTACTAAAACTACAAATGTCTCTGACATGTTCACCTTTAGATCCCCACTCAGGTCCCAATTGCAACAGTCCTAACCGCCAACTCCCGAGCAAGCGTCGAAAGAAGCTCCCCAAAATGTTTGCAGAAAGAGCATGCTCAATTGTCCTTAAACGTTATGAAATGTTATACCGAATATAGAAATGCTTGAATATCGTTCCACATCAAGGTATAGGCACATATGCATGCTAAACGGGGTTGTTTTCCCAAGGCAGGACAACTACATAGCGACCGGGAGAAGTAAGCATAACTTCAAAACTTAAGGCAGTACACAGAAGCACCAACGTAGCTACGGTGGAATAATTGTTATTGTTAATTGCCCTTGCTTAGTGTCACATAATGCTTCCTTCAGTTATTCTGATTAAATTCTTTTTAATTTACACACATTGGATTTATTTACAGATGCGACCGGTAAACAGGCAATAACTGATGCGATACAACATTGGGAAGATGAAACATGTCTGGATTTTCGCAAAGTTGGAGTTTACATCGGTCCCCATTTGAAGTTCAAAAGACTGTCAGGGTAGGTGCAATCAGATTCATGGGTTTTAAATGCAGGTGTTAGCAGATTCAAGGATTTTTAACATGTTGGTTCACGCAGATTCAGGTGTGTTTTGTAGAAAGATGCAATTGGTATTTTGCAGTGTTGATGCAGGCAGGATGTTTAGTGTACACTGATGATACAAAACTTATATCGTTGATTGATAGATGTCACATTTAATACGGTATTCCAACTGTTATATCTCATGTTCAGGTGTTGGTCCAAAGTTGGGAAGAAACTTCTCGGTCAAACCATCTCAATCGGAAGCGGTTGTGGGACGGTGAGTGTTAACATTATAAGATTGATGATTCGAAAATCAGTCGCAGATCGATAACAAATGTACAGACAAACATGAGACAATTATTCCCAGTTATCAAGATATGCAACAACACGTGCTCTGCAAGTTCCTGTAATTATATAAATGCATATATATTGTCTCGTCTGTCCATTTTCATTTCTCAAAAAAAAACCCGACATATTCCCCAAACATTCATTTATTGCTATATATTAATCGATCAGATATTCCATAATCGATTTTGTTTTGATAATCGATCAGTCATAGATGAAAACAGATTACAAGCAAAAACTATTGACATGTATATTCTCGACAAAGGAGGAGGGCACTTCTTCAAACCTCAAATGTTTCAAATGAAAGAGCTGAAACACCCGAACCCAACTGTCTTGGTGCCATGATTAACCATTGTCTACATGTTGGTTCCAGAAAGGGATAGTGGCACACGAGATAGGGCATGCTTTGGGCTTTTGGCATGAACAGTCCCGACCTGACCGTAACGCGTACGTCAACATCCATTCTGCTAACATCAAGTCAGGCAAGAGTCACAACTTTATACGGAGAAGCTGGAAGGAAGCTCTTGCCCTCGGCGTCCCGTACGACTACTCATCTGTAATGCATTATCGCACAAACGTGAGTGGTCACTAATATAACCTATTCGTAGATAAATTATTGAGACAAGAAACAGAACCACTTACCATTACAGCTCGTCAGAGCATGACATATTCCTATAATCTTATATCCATTATAGATGTTCCAACGGTATGGTGTGTATGTACCTCATTAAGTGACGCCTTCATCAGTATTTAGATATGGGAGTGGGGTGGAGGGTAAGGATTGTTTTAGTAAAAAGCGTCACTGGTCCCATCCCCACCCCTACACTCACACACTTCCGCTATTTAATGGCTGATCATGAGCTACATTCTACATGTGTATTTATGGTAAAATGTAAAGCTACCTAAGTTCCTAGTGTGTTCGCTTATTTGTTCCATTTTCATCCTGTCGTCAGTCGCCTATTTAATCCCTTTTATAGAGTTTCTCAAAAAACGGACAAAAAACAATCACCTCCAAAGAACCGGACATGGACAGGACATTGGGTTCAAGATATGGTCTCTCCTTCTTTGATGTGAAACTTGCCAATTACAGATACTGCAACCGTAAGTCATCAAGCTCTTATATTGTGTTATTTGTGTCCAAAAATAAAGCCCAGAACATTCTATCAGTGAGAAAGTCGTCACTTGTTCCTTACGTACCCGTGAAGATCCGGGTTAAAATTGGTCTTCAGCAAGCAACTGCAAAAGGCGGGGAAAGGATGACCGGGCTCATTGACTTGGTTGATGATACTATCGTATCCCAGTTGGGCAGTTTGATGCCCTTGGTGTCTGGTCTGACTCGATTATTTACAGACCTCCTTATTACGAACATATTTATTTCTATGATATATTGTACTGTAAAAAACATCATAAATCTTACACACTTTCATTTTCATCTTGCAGATAAATGCAGTGGTGGTCTGACGTGGTCTTCGTGCAGAAATGACGGGTACAGAGATCCCAAGAACTGTAACAAATGCAAGTGCCCGGATGGATGGTCTGGAACCCTCTGCACTGTCGTAAAACCAGGTGTCAACGGTGAGCAGATAGCTTAGACCGTGATCATGCTGTACACAGCGTCGTTGTTGAATACATGTACCAACAAGCGTCAACAGGTCTGAGTACCCGTCAGAGACAGAATTAGTAATCACCAACCCATGCTCGTCGTAAGAGGATAACGGGATCAGATGGTCATCGTATCCCAATTGCGTGGATCGATGCTCTTGATTTTGATCACTGGATTGTCTGGTCCAGTCTGGATTATTTACAGACCGCCGCCATATAATATGGAATATTGCTGAGTGCGGCGTTACCCAACAAACAAAAACAAACTTCACACAACAAACCAAACCAAGCATAACTTTACAATGACAAATCTATTGACCCATGACATGGTTTCTCCACAGGAATATGTAGTTTGACAAGAAAAAAATAATGTAGATACGTGTATAAAATAATGTAACTTTAGTTTTTCAAAAATGTAGATCTTGGTATTTGTATCAAACAAAGCGAATATATTGATATTTTGCTGTTGTTGTTTTTCACATTATTAACTACACATTAATTCACATGCACGAAACAAACTAATTATATATTAACATTCTGATACCAAGTGCTCTGGTAGCATCAACAGCCCAGTAGACAAGTAG